AACTGGTGAGCGCTAAAACGATAGCCCTCAATAAATAAAAATGCGACCAAATACCTGCCTATTGTCCCGTTAGTGTGGTAGGGCAAGCTACATTAGAACGTGTCTGTGTGCCATGAAAAGGGCCACTAATAATTTTAATCTGTTAAATTTCAGGTCTCCCGAGTGGCGATTCATCCCCGAATCTGAGAAAGAGGAGCTGGGTCTAAACTTCGACGATGACGGCGAGTTCTGGATGTCGTTCAAAGACTTTGCCCAACACTTCGACAGGTGAGCAGTAACCTCCTTTTTTAAGTCGTTTAATACTCGTATAGTTGTTAGTGTAAGAAGCCAGTTATAGATCGTTTCATCCACGAAACGATCTGAAGGAAGTGCGGGGAGTTTGATCCGAGCAATCCGAGCGTCATTATTGTAGTGTCGTCATTTAGCGTGTACCCATAGCACTCAAACATTAGCGGAAGAATGATGGGGCGTGTCTTCGTGGATGAAAGTACGACCTACAACGTGCTCTTTTTGATTTCCTGGAACTCTAGGATATTAATAAGACCACTTCAAAGAATGGAATGACATTACATTTTTTTGTTAAATTCAACAATTTTTTTCGACTTATTTTTTCATACGAAATTATTAAAAAACTTAATTTTTCACTTAAATAATTCATAATTTACATACACTTATCAATAAAAAGTCTGCACAAAAAGACTAGGTGACAATTTTGAAAAAAAAAAAAAACTAGATTGATGATACTATAATCTAAATCAACTAGGTAGGTATCTTCTAAATCTAGAATCCACAATATCTTCAAAAATATGCTTTTAGAAACACATATTCCTAAGACTTTAACTAATTTATAGAATATACCCCTAAAATTTCCGGAAAACAAAAGGAGCACGTTGTATAGTAATAACAATTCTTGAAAAAAAAATAGGATCAAATCCTATTAATTTCATAATTATACTTTCTGTATCATACTAGACAAATCCTCCTAAACCCACCTGGCCAGCGTAAGGAGTGTGGACCAAAACCTTCATTTGCCTCAATCAATAGAGCCGATTAAAACTTCCCGACTCCCTTTGATCTAAAATCCTGACACTTAGAAGCATGATACTGACAAAAGGCAGAAATCGGAAAATAGCAACTCCTACTATCAATAATTATAAGGCTACTTAAATTTTGTTTGACACAGTTTTATCTTTTCAGAGTGGAGATCTGTAACTTGAACCCGGATTCCTTGGACCCCGAAGAATGTCCTGAAGGCTGCACTAAGAAGTGGGAGATGTCTGTGTTTGAAGGGGAGTGGGTCAGAGGTTAGTAATCATTATATCCTTTTATGAATAATATTGCGCGTGGATTACAATCTCTTGTCAAATAAAATTAACTTTGGACCCACGTTTTATGCACTTGAAGAAATAATAATACATTTTTGAAACATCCTTTCTTAGCAGATTCCTACGTCATAATAATTATCTGCGTGCCTTTCAGTGATTGCGCTGTGTATTGATAGATCAGTCAGTCTAAACCAGTGGTTCCCAAACTTATTTAGTCTACTGCCCACTTTGAGAATAAATTTTTCTTTAGCGCCCCCATTTTTGTAGTCAAGAGTCGAGCTCAGTCGGTGTCTAAGAGTCCTCCTAGTAGATGACGCCTTCCAAGCCTCTACACAACGTCCCGATTTTTTTTCTGGGTCTCTTACCGCCCCCTTTAAGCCTGCAGCGCCCACAAGGGGGCGTTATCGCCCACTTTGGGAAAGACTGGTCTTAACTAAACTATCGTAACTAAATATACTTATGCTGACTTGTTTTAATTAGTCATTTGGTGTCAACATATAAACATGCTTTTTATAGACACATATTCATTGTCATTGGGTACCAAACCCATAGCTTTGCTTAGTTTAGGACTGGATGGTGCAGTGTATAATGTCCATAAGTTGATTATTATTAAATAAACGTTTTTCTTTTGAACTTGTCTCGCAGGAGTGACAGCGGGCGGTTGCAGAAATTATCTGGAAAGCTTCTGGCGGAATCCACAGTACACCATCACTCTACGAGACGTGGATGAGGGAGACGACGAGAACAAGTGTACGGTAAGTAACTATCGATTAAACGATCGATTCCTATTGAAATCACTCATACTATCGAATTATCAGATATCGATAACACTATACAGGGTGTTAGGTAAATGGGTATATGAGCCGACACTAGCCCATGTTAACATGATGTCAAATGGTATGGTGAAGTCAGAAATTTGATATCATAATTATTATTATATATTTTTTTCATACATGTAAATTTTATATCCGACTTGTAAGAAAATTAAAATAATTAAAATGAAGATATCAATTTTCTGACTTCACCATACCATTTATATGACCATGTTAACATGGGCTAGTGTCGGCTCATATACCCATTTACCTAACACCCTGTAGAACGATTCCGTACTTATGGTTTTCCTCATGCATGACGATAGAGTTTTTGCAATGATTACAATTTATACACAGACTCATGACTTAGTATTATCACCTTTTATAGGGGTGGATTTTCGTAAAATCCGTTCTTAGTGAGCACCTAAGTTCTAAAAGGAACACCATGCAAAATTTGAGACTCCTAGCACTTGTAGTTTCTGAGATTTCGTGATGAGTGAGTGAGTCAGTTAGTCAATCAGTGACCTTTCAGTTTAATAAATATACATAGATTAAAATCATATTTATTTCGTCTTCCAGATTATCGTGGCTCTAATGCAGAAGAACCGTCGTTCGCAAAGGCACCAAGGCCTGGAGTGCCTCACCATTGGTTTCGCCGTATACCGTCTGCCCGACTATGGACATGTGCCCAAACCATTAGACGTTAATTTCTTCAAGTATAACGCTTCTATTGGGCGTTCGCAAGCTTTTATCAACTTGAGAGAGGTGTCTGCTCGGTAAGTAATTCGATTATATCAGGCCTGTTCATCTCCGCGAGTTTACATCGAAAACAAAACACGCACGATGGCCCCCTACAGGATACTATTCGACAAGGCCTCACATACGAGCGAACATTGACTCACGCACGCGTATTCTTGTGTATGATGGAAGAAAATAAAGAAAATGGTGTACTAAATACTGTGCAGTATTTAACTGCCTAAATAATAATAAAAACACAGAATGTACTTTTTTAAGTTGCCTCAAGACACTGAGAGGTAAATAAGTAGTTAATATTATTCATGATAATTCATGCTAAATTATGTATTTCCTCCGCCATTTTCCGCAGTTTGGCACCTCACGTCACATCATTTTACCGAAGTCAGCCCTATAGCTTCGGCGCAGTGCCGATCACTGACGTTTGTCAACAAAATAGTGCTTGACTCTTGAGACAGGCTAAATTACACCATATTGTTATTTTAGAACATTCTTATAAATGGTAGTCCAAAATTAAATTGTAACCGAGCCGAGAATCCAGGCCAAAAAAAAAGGTATAGGTACAAACTTTTTCATTATATCGACAAAAATAATTAGCGGGCCGCAATTTATAATGAGTTTAGAACCTCTGATATTTAATTTTTTTATCAACTCTCGGCGAACAGACTTTAGCCATTAAAAAGTCGTAATAGGCCAGCTGTACTGGTGCTAGGTTACAAACTAACGTAGCAATATCGTCTAGAGCTGGCCATGCGTCACGGGGGCGCATACGACGGCGGGGGCCCCGGGGGCTACGTGGGGGGGCCCCAGTCCCCCCCTACGGAACAGAGCTGCCTAGAACAACTGCTGTGCGCTCTCTGCGCACCCATCTGCAAGGAAATCGGCGTGGACCTACAGCAAGTCACGCAGCAGCAGGGCGAGCAAGTGCACCTCACTCAACCGCAGCCCCAAGGTATAGGTTCATTCGTTCAGTCACTCGTTCATTCAATCGTTCGTTCAACGGAAATAGACAAGCTTTTCCATTGCTTTGCATTGAAAATCGAATCCGTTCACGGAGCAAAGCAACGCCATACACGCTGTATAATTTCCTAATAAAGATAATAAAATAAAACCGCCATAGCGATGACTTTTCGAAATTACAAAACAGTCTTTGCCATCTGTCTAAGGGTTCATACTAGTTGCACAAAAACTTTTTGTATATCTCTTAATTAAACGGTTGACTGCGACCACCTTTGCAACTGTCAAATTGTGAACCAAGTAAATAACTACTTGCTAGTCTTTTAAATTCACGACGATTCTTCGCTCACTTATTGTCCGGTTGAACTAAGACATTTCCCATGTCCGTTTCTTAGAAATATCTGATAAAAATTCAAAAGCATAATATTCATTATTTTGTTTTCAATTTTTTTAACTTCATAATTAATTAATTTACTAATTGTGTATTCAGTTTTGTATTTTTCAGAATTTCCCGGAACGTCGGATGCATGCGACTATCTTCTTCTTCTTATTTTTTAACTTGTTTTTATTGAAATGGAGGCGAATAAAATTTAAAATGTCTGTTTTTGATTATTATTTTCTTAATTTTTTAGTTTTAAGTTTTTTTCGTATTTTATTTTTATTCCAGGTGGTCTCCGATTATACTTTTGTTTTATTTCTGTATGTATTTATGTAAAATTATGCTTTTATCTATGTTTTTGTTTATTTATTGTACAAAATGTACATAAAAGCATTGTTTTACAAAACTTTTATTAGCTGTAACGTTGCTACTAACACCGTATGTTGATATTATCAATTAAATTGGAAATATCAACATAACAGCTTCTCTGTCGCATGTAACTATGTAAATATGGCACGTCTATGAAGGCACTCAAAAATGGGCATTTTAAAAGAAACAAACTTGTTTAGTCTTAATTAAATCACCTCCATTTCCATAAATATTTTTAAGTGTAATTAAATGACATAGTTTTTTTTCTTATTAGGTACATACTATGTTATTTAATTGTGTATTTAAAGATGCGACTTGGAACTTAATTTATTATACGTTCATTGAGATAATATCAACCTTTTATTCATGTATAATATGAATGAAATTAGCATGAATTACTCACTCTACGAATGTCTTTAAAAACTTGTTCTGTTATGTAATGTTTATTATAAAATTTATTTCTTTCTCAAACTACATAATTGAAAAGAGCATCAATTGATGCTGTTTTTTCGTCCTATGTTTTGATATTCATCTACAGTAAATTTCTGTCTCCTACTACTTCAATATTGAAAAGTTTCTCATATTTCAACCATTGCTTGCACAACTTTTACTTTCAGTACGTAAACCACTGAACCATGTGAGCGTAGCATTGGTCCAAATTTGCCAGAGTGTCAAAAGATGGGGAAATATGCGACATCAGCTATCTCGCCCCTCAGTACCAATGGAAGATGTTTGTTCTTTTCATCATACTTAAAAAACGCAAATTAATTTCCAAGTCTCGTCTCCCATTCCCCATCTCCACCACCCCCTCTAACCGTTACCAACTGTTTCAGAACTCAAAGGGCAAGGGTTCTCCAAGGATGTGTGCCGTAGCATGATCGCGATGTTAGACAAGGACGGCTCCGGCGGCCTGGGCTTCGAGGAGTTCAAGGCTCTGTGGATAGATCTGCGCAATTGGCGGGTGAGTTTACATCATTGTTGACGTTAACCTGGGTCTCTAGCGGTTTTTCCCTACACAGTCAACAAAAATATGTCAACGTTTTTTTTATCCACAACGAGGAAGCTCTTGGCCTGTATCTCACCTGATGGTAAGTGATGATCAGGCCGAAGGTGGAAGCGAGCTTCACCCGGAATTCTCAACCACGGAGGAACAGGCTATCTTACCTCTAACTGCCGGAACACAATAATGCTGTTAACATTGTTGTTATGGCGACAGACTTAGGTAAGATGGTGGTGGATAGCCAGGCGTACTTGGAACAAGCCCTACCACCAACCAAACCGAACAGAAAATTCTGCCCCCACTGGGAATCGAACCCGGGACCTCTGCGTCTGAAGCAGGTGGTCTAACCACTAGACCACAGAGGCGGTTCACATTCAACATTTTTTGTAGACAATTTTGTTGAATGTTGAAATGTTTTTGTTGATTGTTTAGGACAAAACACGCGCTAAAAATTTGTACGGACCTACTTGTTTACATCTGTATTTGAGTTTTAAAAAATGTATTTGAAAAAGCACATCTACGGCATTTGAATTGAAATCTTGTTTCTTAACTTTTGGAGGTTTTGTCCGCAATCAGGTTACAAGTTTTTAAATTTTTTACCAGTTATTAAACAAAACACCCCTTGAACGTCCTTAAAGAATATTATTTCAAATGCAAATTACAGGTTATATTATACTATCTATACTAATATTATAAATGCGAAAGTAACTGTCTGTCTGTCTGTATCGCTTTCACGCCTAAACCACTGAAGCGATTTTGATGAAATTTGACATAGAGATAGTTTGAGTCCCGGGAAAGGACATAAGATATTTTTATCCCGGTTTTTCAAACAGAAACGCGCGCGATAAAGTTTTTTCTGTGACAGACAAAATTCGCGGGCGGAAAGCTAGTATCTCTATAAGTCGGAATCATTTAGTTAGTTGTTGAAGTAGGAATGCTATTTTTAATTCAATAAGAAGTTACCTCGACTACTGGAAGTTTTACCCTTACCTTAAAACATTTCTCCTTTTATTTTGTGTTTTATCATCTATGATAACGATGATGATTTGTTTTTCTAGGCTGTATTCAGGCTCTACGACACAGAAGGCCGCGGCGCGATCCCGGCTCACCATCTACGTGACGCGCTCCACTCAGCTGGATATACTGTCAACGCGCACATACTCAACGTTCTAGCTCACAGGTAAGAGACCTTTTCAGTCATCTGTCTCCCGCTTTGCGACAGAGCGAAGTCGATGTTCCTATATTTTCTTGATTTTAACGCCTTCTATAGTCTGTTCGCCGAGAGTTGATAAAAAAAATTAAATATCAGAGGTTCTAAACTCATTATAAATTGCGGCCCGCTAATTATTTTTGTCGATATAATGAAAAAGTTGGTAAATTATCATTTTTAAATTTACGGGAATTATTCCGGTTAGGGCATACGTGGGGATACGGATCAAACACGTGGCGTCCATGTGTTGGATAAAAAGTATTTCATTATTATCAAGTGGCTTATAGTGTATCCCAATATTGGGCAAAGCCCTACCCACTGTCATACCATTCATTTCGGTCTTATGTAAAATAAAACTATTCCGTTTCACACATTGCGGCCCGCCGGCCAGGGCGCTTGACGACAGCTGCGTGGCTCGTACCATGGTACTCAGTGCGCGTTGTGACAAACGACGCCCGCCATACAGAATGCGATAATTAAGCGACAGTCGCTATTGCAAGACATTTCATAACAGTGTTGGCAAAAAGTTAATCTGATTAATGATTAAAAATTAATGATTAAAATCATAATCAAATTTTTTTGATTATGATTAATTAATCATTAATCAAAAATTTTGATTAAGATTAAGT